CGACTGTCAACATTGGAAATTTGCACATAAACAATTTGGGCTGAAATGAAAACAAGTTAAGAATGTAATACAACGCAGCAATTTTTCCGTATTTTCAAAGTACTGCAGTTTGAAGAAGAAGAAAAAGAAGACGAAGAAGATGGGTAAGAAGGAGAAAAAAAAAGCACAAAAACTGCATGAAAAGATGAAAATAAAGCAGAAAAAAAAAAAAAAAAAACACTATTCCTCGCCTAAGTGCCACCAAAAATGCCAACTTAGTGTAATGGACATATCGATGACTACAGACAGCATCACTACATGTATTCGGCGCCTCTTGAGACATCTCGGCACTTCATCGTTTATTGAGATTCAATTTCAGCCCTAAATTGCCATCAGCACAATAAACCTGGGCATCTGATCTGGTAATTAAGCACTCAAAAATTTCTCTCACCAAATTGTGCAAAAATTCACTTGTTTTTTGATCCAGTTTAATGATGGCCAAAATTCTTGACGACAACAGCAATCGCAACAAATTTATTTCCTCCATCTTTTACAAACCAATATTCAAATTATTGTACTTAATGTAGATTTTTTTTTTTTTCTTTTTTTTTGCTAAGAAATTTAGCATCACTTTTTCTGCTACCGTTTGTTTTTAAAACAGGAAAAACAATTGAAAAAAAAAAAAAACCAACGAAATTTTATTGTAACCGAAAACAACAAATGCAAAAAAATTTATTTGAAGAGGGGGAAAAAAAAAACAGAAAAAACAACCGACAATAAGTGGAATATAGAACACGTGTTGAACCGTCAACAAATTGCCAATAATACCGGTTCAGACAAATGTAATAAGCTAAATGTAACCCACCAATACAGTGTTCCTTTTAATGGCCAACTAAGGCAGTTCAGTGACGCAGAACTACTGAGGGACTGACACACTGAAAAGTATTCTGACGACCATATAAAAGTACTGTTACACATCTACTGCTGACGGGTAACACATCATCAGTATCCGTTCAGACCATAATACACATATATATGTCAACAACTTTTCGGTTCAGCACTTTAAAACAAAGCCGTTTTCTGTTGCAAACGATATTGTAGCGATGATGAGTCAGGCATCAAAATTTGTTAAATTCGTATCCCCCATTTCCCGGTTTAATTCTTCCCTATTTCCCGGTTTAATTCTACAGATTCAACGGATAATTACGGTAAATAACAATGGCTTTTGTTGATTTGAAGTCCTGGACTTTCATCATCTTTAGATGATGCAAGTGTCAAAAAATATTTCAAGCAAACAATTCTACTGTATCCAAAAGTTTTTTTTTTTGTTTTTTGCTTCGTTCTACTTATACGTTTACTTCAGTTTCGCCAATTCCGAAGACAACATAAAACCGTGATATTTACTTCGTATTCACTTCAGCATTTTATTAGTCCGACCTCATGTTGGCTTTTTCAGTTAAACCATTTAATAAAATAGGTTTCTAAACAGTTTTATTGGATCACTTTGTTACTGCAGCGAAACATGCCATTTAATCATTCTGTTCTTCAAAGTATCTGTTTTTATTAACTTATTCAGTCTTTAAATTTATTGTCTATTGAAAAATGATAAAATATTTTTACTGGGCCAGTTATTTCAAATACTCCTCAGATAATTTTTATTTGTCATTGAAAAACTGTACGCAATTTTTTTCAATCTAACTCTGTTTCTTCAGTTGCAAACTATGTCAAAATGTTGTCAAGAAAAGTGACAATAATTTTCAGTTTGTACCTGTACCACCGATTGGCGATAAATATAAACAGGTTTTTAGTACCTAACGATGGATTAATAAAAAAAAAAATCCCTGAACTTTTGAAGATATATTAGCGAAAAAGTATTAGCAAAACTGACTGACCAGTAAAATTTTACACATCATTCCTTCTAAACGCTTAAGCTTCTTCCTATATTTAATCTGCTTTTTTTTCGATTGTACAAATTAAAATCCAATAATTTCCATTGCAAATAATAAAAATCTAATTTAATTTAACTCGTATTAAAGCCAAACTACACCTTTAAAGTTTTATTCGGTAAAATTTAGCAATTTACATTGATATATGCTTAGATTTCGTGACAAAATTTGCATTTCACGCACTAAGTGTTCGTGAAAACTCCTAAACCTTATTTTAACCTAAACTTTTTATTGAATGTCTGCTGAAAACAGAAGGAATGCTGCAGACAATTAGATAAGGTCAAAAAAAGTGTGGTTTGATTCAGTACCGGCATTTAGTACTTAGCGACCGTGTTTTAATTTGAGTAAAAAAAGAAGGGAAAAGAAGAAGGACCATTTAGGTTCCCGGAAGTTGCAGTGTTGCAGTACTTTGATTTGACCTGAAGCATTACCACTAATACACAAACTCAAAACTACAAAACAGTATTTTAACCAAATGTTCTAGAAATTTGTTCTACTGATATTCTTCTGAACAATACGTATTTTGATGCTTCGTAATCTTGCAATTTTTCGTGGGTTAAGTTGTTTACAATCTTAAAGGAAAAAAAGCAGTTTTACGTATTCTAAAAAATTGCGAAAACATTCATTTGAAAGCACAAATTATAAAATTTTTTTTAATGCACAAGACATTCTGAACAATTACTGATATAAAATTTTATTCGAAATATAAGGGTAGATATATAAAACTGCAGTAAGGTCCGGACAATTTAAGAGACTTTTGGCTACAGTTGCTGTGGAAACATTTTTCATTGTGTTCAGTTGTCGATTTGAAATTGAAACGATATGTCAACAATTTATCTTCTTTGAAGTTATAGTCAAAAATTTTTGAACCTTTGAATTAATAGCTTAGAAAAGTGTTAAGTTCTTGACAAAGGGAAATTCAAGCTTTTTAACCATATTCTACTATCTTGATGGGCTAAATAGAGCTCAAAAAACTAAGATTTTTTTTGTTAAGAATTTGCTTCGTTTGTAAACTCAGATTTGTTAAGCCATCGGCGATTCTCTAAAGGGCAGATTATCAAACAGCGATAAAACATAGAATACAACAAAAACAACAACAAAAATCTGTTTTCTTCTTGAAACAGAACCAAGATTTCAAAATGAAGTATAAAAAAATTGTTTCAGAGGATTAACGTGCAACTGAAATGAAGTCAGCAAGAACTGACTGTGCTCATAAAACTCTGATTCCGCTCAGAAGTTTTGGGATTCAAATGTGGCTTTTGTTGTTGTCGTTCTTTCTCAGTTACAGAACACTTCGAAACGACAGTTTTTTTTTGCTTCGATTTCGACATTTTCAGCAGCAAAATTATCGCTTTTCATATAAAAAATTGTCTAGATTCGGCGTTGTAAAGCACATAATAGAAATGTTTGATTTCATGAAAAATTTAATGATTATCAATTGCTTTTTAAGGCATAATTTAAAAGCAGAAACTGTTGATCTGTTGGTTTTGTTTTTGTTATTCTTTTTTGATAAAATTTATATCTGAAAATATTAAACGGAATTTTTGGCACAAAAATCAACATTAGCGTCAAAAAAAGAAACAAAAAAAAAAGATTCAGAAGATCTGAAAATAAACGATTTTAGTACTAAGTGTCTGTAAGGCATTGATTATTCATTTCGATGATATTTTATATGAATAATTTTGGTTAAAATTTTTTTCTTCACCTCCAATCTATTGGCATTTATTGTTCTTCTTTTGACAAATGCTTTTTTCTTGTTACAATAGAAGAAGAAAAAAAAATGTGCCATTTGCTGGTACAATCCGTATGTTA